ATACTAGTATTATGACACAAAAAAATTGTACCCAGGCGACACACTGTTTAATGAATGGTGAAATGTTGGTATTAAAATAAAAATAAAAAAAATGTTTGGAAAAAAAATACTCTGACAGTTGTAAGTGCAACAACTGGTTGTAACTCAGGTTTTTCAGTAACTTCAAACAGTGGCTAAATGAATGACTGTAAGCAGAGAGCTTACTTCTTGGGCAACAGAATTTCATACATGTGGCCCCAGGTAGATACTGTCTTAAAATTATGTCATATCGCTAATTGATGACAGATGTAATTAAAAGCAAATTTTTCATTTTCTGTTTTATAGTATATAGTGTACAAAAGATATTATATACTATAAACACATAGATTGATGATTTGGTTCCTTGCCTGCATTGTAATTCTTTTCTACAGATTCTAAGATATTGAAGATAAAGTCATGTTTCTCTTATCAGATTGGGTGGCCTGTTCTCATTTGCCTTAAATATTAAAATAATTCCAATGGATTTCAAAGCGGATTTTCTGATGGGATATGGCACACATCCCTGATTTACTCAGGTTAGATTCATTTTATTCTTTGTAACTTGCTCTGCATAAGCTTTGTGTACCATATTTTTTGGAGTATAAGACGCACCTCCCCCCCCCCCTAAAAGAGCATGGAAATGTTGTGCGTCTTATACACCGAATATGGCCATTTTTGGCCTCCCGAAGCCCTGTCCCTGCCCCCCATTTTTACGAAAAATGAGCAGAAAACGGGCTGTTTTTTGCAAAAACAGAGGTGTTTTTGCCTTCCCAGGCCCCCAGCAGCACTCTGCAGCCTTCAGCAGGGCTGGGGGAAGGGAAAAAGGCCCCCATTTTTGCAAAACATGACCCATTCTACCCATTTTTTTGCAAAAATAGGTGTGCTTTTGCCTCCCCCCAGGCCTGCTGAAACCTTCAGGGTGCTCCTGGGGGGCTGGGGAGGACAAAACTTTTTTTCTTACTTACCTCTTCAAAATCTTGGTGCATCTTATACACCAATGCGTCTTATAGTCCAAAAATATGGTAATCACGTAGGGCTATCGCATCAGTACATCTAAACTTGAAAGTATAAATGCATTCCAGAATTCAACAAGGCTTTGTAGCTTGCTATTAAATGGCAATTGTGAATACAGGTAATCAGTGGTGGGATCCTGACGGTTTAACAACTGGTTCGGTGATTGCATGCTTCACGCACGTGCAGAGTTTTAGCAAAACTTACCTTCCACGTTACTTCAGGGGAGTAACACAGCTGAGGTGCAGCAATCTGCTCTGCTGCTCAAATCAGCTTAGAGGATATAGGTAAGTAAATCACAGGGGCAGGCAGGCCCAGCTGATCATCAGAGTGGACCAGTTTCCTCCCCAGCTGAGCGTCGGAGTGAACAGGTTTACTCCCCAGCTGATCATTAGAGCGAACTGGTTCACTCCACAGCTGATCATTGGAGCGAACTGGTTCACTCCCCAGCTGATCGTCGGAGCTACTGGTTCACTCCCCAGCTGATCGTCAGAGCGAACAGGTTTACTCCCCAGCTAATCATGGGGCAGCTTTTGAAGAGTATTCGGAGACTTCAACTCGTCCAGAANATTTGACACCAGATAATTTGGAGTCGAATGATCATACGTGGTGGACATGTGCAGAAGCAAAAATATACTGGGGGAAAAATCCAAATGTGGTTGGAGAAGACGACGCAGCAACGTATTGATCTAAAACCTAGACTGTTCTTGTTGGGCATCTTATCAGAAAAATATAGTAAAGAAAATGTATATTTGATGATTCATGTAATAACTGCCGCTAGAATTGTACTTGCACAAAATTGGAAGGGCGAAGAGATCCCCACAGATGAAAATATGATTGAAAAAATATTAGAATGTGCATAAATAAATAGATTAACACTTGTAATTAAAGGAAAGGAAGAATCTGACTATTATAATATATTTAGATTAGATAAATTTATTTATAGGGCGCCCTTTTCCCTGAGGGGACTCAGGGCGGCTTACAACGTATAGGGAAGGGAGTACACACAATGGCATATAAAACAGTACGTAATTAAAAATAGAAGCAACATTCATTATTCGGGGTATTTTACCAATGGTTAGAGAATAAATATGAAAATAATGTATTATAAAGTTAAATAAATTAAGAAGAGAAATGCTATAATAATAGATATGTGGAGTTTTAAGTACTAGCATTAAAATAAGATATATGTATGCATGTATGTATGTATGTATGTACGTATGTAGGTACGTATGTATTCTTATATAAATAATATATATAATAATATCTGTATATAAAATAACATGAATAAACATGATATAATCAACAAACAAGCCCCACCCACCACTTAGGCCATTGCAACATGAAATAACAATGGACACACAGCCAGCAGCAATCAGTACCAATCTACCAATCATGATTCAACCACACAACCAATCATTTCACTTATTGAAACAACGCCAGCACTCCACACATCCCCCACCAAGATTTATAGAAAGACGGCAGCTCCGACCACGCTTTAAGCCCCAAACCCACCCTGAAGATGGCGAGTGAGAATGTATGTATGTATGTATGTATGTATGTATGTATGTATGTATGTATTTAGTGTCACAACCCCTGGTATGCCCAAATGTGGGAGGAAGCAAACTGC